AATGTTGGCAAATATGTCTCTTTACAGTTTTCTGTCCTTTGTAGATTTTAATAAATTTTGGCTTTTTGCTGTCTCTCCCAAACCCTCCTCTGCCATCTATTCACACAAGCTCACCAAGTAGTTTATGCATTGTTTTCCTCTGTAACTTCTTGCCTTCAATCTGTCTTGTGAGTATCAAATTTTCCAAGCCCGCTTTCCTCATTATGTGCCCTAGAGATTTCAACTGTCTATGAACTTAAGTATGTGTCTGCATCTCTTTAATGCTAAAATATATCTTCTTTTTGTTTCCATTGTCTCTAGAACTTTGTCAGCAAGAAATCTTTTCACAACTAGAGAGTGATTAGCTTTTGAAGGAAATAACAGTATGAATCTGGATGGGAATGTCCCCTCACTTGGGAAAAAGATTTTTTTTTTTTTAAATACTTCAAAGAAATGTTATAAATAAGATACTCAAGTATTCTCGAGAAAATGTAAATTAACATTTAAAACAAAAATTTCAGCTTAGACTTGATCCCTAAGCATGCCCTCTATAAATCTTTATATTTGGATCCCCACCTCAGCTCAAAATCCTGGATCCAGCCCCTGAATAAGTATTAGTTTCTTTTAGGGATGAGCATGTTTGAAGAATAAAAATAAAGTCTGACTCTTGTGAAAGAAGAATTTAACTATAAAATGTTTTTTTTCATATAGCAAAGCAAATCCAGGTTTATATTTGTTTTCTCTTATCAGCAGAAAAGTGCAACAAAGTCATTGCTTAAATTCACTTACTTTAAAAGTATTTTTTCTTTTGTCATGCTATTTATGTATAGAAGAAAGAATTGTTCAAAGTAAATTTGGAAGTTTTAAGCCAAAAAATACTTTGAAATGTTATGCCTTTGCTTCTGAGATAGACATAAACATTTGCTTTATTGACTTTCAATCTAGTCATCTTAACATTTTGTACTCCTATTGTATGACTAATATGGAGTTCTTTCATCATAATCTAATTCACACTTATTTTGTTTATGACACAGTAAACACATAGCAAAATTATTAGAATTTAACTTCCTTTCTATCATAAATTGTTTCTAATAATTATCACATTTATTGTCATTAAAATAATATCTGTATAAAATAAAGGCTATTCTAACTTATTAAGTTATTGATATACATTAGTATTTACAATTTTAGAACAAACCAAACTGTATTTACTAAAGATGAAGTTACCATTTGACAAAAATCCATGTGTTACTATATTCCATTATATTTCTTAACTGAACTAAAACATAACATCTATTTGAAAGAACATCCAACTTGAGGACTGAAAAAATACCAAGAAAGTTTTTAGTTTGAACACCACATCTAACATTTGTGTTTTTGTTCTGTTTTTAAGCGACTAAATTTCTATCCTTTGCTTTTGTTTCAAATAACTGTAACAAAAAGTCCAACAATTAAATATACTGTACAAAATTTCTTTTATTTTTTTTGTTTTTTTTGTGGGGTACCTTGTATATTCTACTTTTTAGAAGTCAATAATTAAGCAGTTATTAAATCACATATTTTACAGTATAAGTTTTATATACACTGCAAAGTGTAAACAATGTCATGTAGCTTATAAAGATAGTTTTAGATTGATATTATGACTTAGTTTTGTTCCACATATTCAGATTCAAATTTAGTACAGCAATTAATTAAATCAGCTGATGAAAAATAAACAAATTTAATCAAGAAACAATGGATATTGGTTGTCTTTTTTGTGCTATCTTTACAATATTTCAGTCCAGTCTAGTGTATTTGAATTTTTGAATTGTTCAGATTTTTTAATTCATTCTTTTTGTGGTTTTTGTTGATCCATTTGTACAGCTGCCTTCAGGTGTAGAATCTGTTTCTCTTTCTCTAGTAAAGAGTGGTAAATATATTGTCCAGCTTGACTCTTTCTTTTCCTCTGAAAAGAGAAGGAAATTATCAAAGTCTAATTCTTAATGAGTTAAAAGCATTCACACATACACAAACCTCTGCTGTTATTGATTCCCCAAAATGTGTCATTTGCAATCAACAACTGTTAGGAAATATAATTTTTCCTCTTTGCAACTGTTAACATTTTTTATCACTATTAAGAGAATGACTCAAGCAATTAAAGCAGATTTTGACCTGTAAATGGTTTTAAATTACAAAAAGAAAACTGGAATATAATCCCTGAATTTTTGTTCTCATTGGGGGGGGGCTGTAGCTGCGGCACATGATTTCAATTTGCTAATAACATATGGGCTCTGATGTTGTCAGACACTTCAAAATAACAAGTTAAAAAATTTATATTTGATTTTAAAATATAGCTAAAATAATTTAACCTTAAATTGTAGACTATAAGGAAACTGAAATAAGCCATCAAATATGAAATAAAATTGTCAATTTGAACTGAATTTAATATGAATTGACAAAAATTAATAGGTAAATCTGGAGAAAGAGAGAGAGAGAGATAACTTTTATAAGTTAAAATTAAAAGTTAAAGATGATATTTCAAATTGCTGTTTTGTTAAACCAACTTCCAAGAGAATGCTTCCCCAATCACTGCAATCTGTTCAAGTTTTCCTCATATAACCCCATAAACTATGATTATTACTCTGTAACCCTCAACCTCGAGTGGCTCATGGGCCTTGTACAAAGTGAACATCATTGTAAAAAAACATTTTTTTAAAGTGAATTTAGCCAAGTGAATGAAAATGATTATAGCACATTAAAAAAATGTCTAAATGATGAAAATATAATTTTGCCAAGACATGTCTTTCTTCTGAAGGTTTATAAGCCCTTTTTTAATGTGAACTCTAGATTTTTACCTCTGTTTAATGTGAAATACTCAGGTGACATTTTGCATGTTTACCTGTTTTTTTCTTTTGCTTTAGAAATGTTAAATTCTTTCTGAAGAATGTTTATAGTGTCTGCATGAAAAAAATTAATGAAAAATGAGCACTATACTGCAAATTCTTTTTTAATCATTTCACCTCCAGCAAGGCAATAAAGCCACTAAGACACAAGTGGGTTACTGAGTGTGAAAGAATATAAGAATCAAGCCGAGCTTCTCGACTTGACGGTCGAACTCTCTGCTTCTGAGCAGAAAGGAACCCGGACGAGGTTCCGCCGAAGGGCAGAATCTCGTTCGGGGAGAAATGACCAACCCAATCTCGTTTATACGGGCATTTTTTGGCTGAGCCTATGGGCTCAGGAAACCCACGTAAAAACTCGGCCTTGTGCCACATGCAACCCTTGTGGTGGGGTGGCTAGATACCGAAAGAATATAAGAAAAAAACATTAAACAGAGAGAATAATAAAAGAACAGGAATTAAGAAAACAGAAGCTAATGATTAACATTACATTTAAATTATTGAAGATCAAAGTTGATTGGAAAGTAATATGCTGGAAGAAACTGTTAGCACAGAACTTAGTTACATCTAGCCAATTCGACTGTAAAATGATGAGACCTTGCTGCCAATCTAGTACTGCACTTGAATTCATAAAATCTAGGTACCATAGAGGAAAGCGCATCAGAACAATTGCCATGAAAATATTTATAGAAAAGACACAGGAAAGCTATGTTAACAAAGTTAACATTTTGCTATGCTTACAAGCAAATTTTTAACTTTCAATATAAGAAAAAAGATTTCCAGAATATTTATTTATCATTTGTATTATTTACTTTTCTTTCTATCATCTATTGTCATAATAAGAAAAGAAATATTTTCCATCAAAACTCTGTTGGGGGCTAAACCTTAAAATGATATATTCTGGTTTATAGGAATGAGGTAAGACTGTACAGCTTCAATATGTTTGCAATTCTTTAATGGCATAGCAGTTGATTAGTTTTTATTAAAAAAAATTTCTTTCCCTGAATCTTAAAAGGCAAAAATATCATTCATTCACTCTTTTGTCCATTTTTTATTATTAATTTACTGTAAAATCCCTTCATTGCAGATAAACAAAACAATTACTTTTATAAATAAAGATAAAATTGCTAAATTGAGAAAGTAGAACTACTGCAATAAGTTTAATACTTCAAATCTCCTGCTTCTATTAATTTTTGTCTAGTATTTCTTTCGTCTTCATTTGCATTTTATTGCGGCTACTCCAACCATGGTATTTACTAATGGTTGTAGAATTGATGGTTTGAGTTGTTATAATGAAAAGTAACTGAAATTAAGATGGGGAAAAATAATTATCAAATTTAATAATAGTTGACAATGCTTCATCTGATAAAAATTCAAGATGATATTCTGCTGTCTTAAAAAATTAAGCAAATATAATCAATAATTAGTTGAAAAGTGGATTTATTTAGCTTTATTAGATTTGTCTGGAATCAATGTGTTTATCAAGGTATACTTTTTCTACCTTCATATTATATTGATGTGAATCTAAGATAAATTGCTTAGAAACCATCATCATTACTTATATTTACTCTAAAAGCTTTGTGACATTATTGCATAAATTAGTTTTGTAAGGTTAAGTTATTATTGATATAAGGCAAAGCATTTAAAACCTGTTGTAAAATTTATATTAACCATTAGTGACAAGGAAATGTTTCCTATGAATATTATTTTTGTTGATTTTATTTGAAGAGAGAAACAGGTATATTTTGTTGGTCATAAAGTGAACCGTTTTTAAAAATTCTTAGTTTCCCATTCAGATTGTGAAATTGAGAAGAATTGCCACTTCAAATAAGATATAATTTCTTTTTCATTTAAATTTAATTTCGAAATTTAATTTTTTTCATTTAAATCTAATCTTAGATTTAAAATGTTGCCAGAAAGAAATTTTCATCAGCATTCAATAGCTTGAAATATGACTATCTTTATAATCAAATCCTTATTAATTTAAAATACATGTTTTTTTTTTTTAAAATATCAAAGACCAGTATTATTTAAATTCACGTGCTATGTGTGTATATATGCATACTCACACTATTATTATTTCATAATAATTACTTTATTCTTCAAGTGAAATTCATTAAATATTGTTTCTCTGTTTTGTAGCGGTTTGATCGGCAAGACTCATTGTCATCCCACAGCAGTTCCAGCCATGAGTACCATGTCAATGGGGAACAGCGACTCCGACGAAGGGGAAGCCAACCCACACAGTCAACCCAGCAAATGGATAGGTCACAGGACGTTGGTCTTCAAGGAAGACTGGTTCGTCGGGATTCTTTCGAAAGGTCTGCATCCCAACGGCTACGGGACTCTCCCCGCATCCCAAGGGCACACATTTCACAAAAAAGCATGGATAGCTGTGGGACGCAGACACCGACCCAAACGAGGCATGGTAGTTATCGCTGGCACGAGAGCCCAAGCAAGATAGATAACCACTCTTTTCACGGACGCCAAGGGAGCTATGGAGAACAGGGAGTAAATTACCGGTCTGATACTTACAGCGCCAGCCCCCTTCAGACAAAATCAGAAATTTATGGATCAGAGACCATTATAGGACCTGATCGCAGTATTTATGGAGGGGATTATTCAACTGGCAAGGAAGAGTTTATTGCGTTCAGCCAGGACATTGTTAACCAACAAGGGGACATAAGTCCCATTCCACACAAGCCCAAACCAAGGTCTTTCCCACGTACAAACCCAGCTTATGTTGGGGTCCCCCGAAGAGATGGACAAACTTCATACAAAAAAATTAATGTTGACCAAACTACCCCAGCGTACGATGTCCCTTATCAACCTGAACCCATAGTCATGACTCTCCAGGGCTCTCAGACCAGTAACACCTACAGTGACCCATACAGCTATTGCCGGCATGACCGCTCGGACAGTGATACCTCGCATTCCTCACACCGAGGCGGCTACCTCCACGAGCGCACAGACAGCCAGGCATCGCACTCGTCGAGGAACCGCGACTTATCGGATAGCCAGTCATCCCAAGGGTCACTGCGCAACATGTCTGATACACACTCATCCCAGGGGTCTTTGCGCAATATGCAGGATAGTGCAGTGTCGGTGCAGGACAGCATCTCATCGAAGGGTTCGTTGCAAAGTACCGAGCAAGATTATGCGTGCATCCATGAACGGTCAAGCAGCCAGCTGTCCCACCGATCACTGATCCAATCTGAGCCAGAGTACGCAAACCTTCCATTCAGTCCACACAAGTCTGAATCACTTATCACGTCGTCATACGACCAGAACAACTTTAAGAATATTTTAAAATCAAAAAAAGGTAGCACTGGCGATTTCAATGAGGCATGTTTAGACAATCGCACGGGCAGTATACTACAGGATTATACTTACCAACAGTGCTTACCTGGTAGTCACCGATCTCTCATTACACATAACTCAAGCTACCACTCTGAAAGTAAGTGAAAATTTTTTCTCTTATCTTCTTTCTTTCTTACTCATTACATCTCATTTACTTTATCAATGAGAAACCTGATTCTTTTGTTTCATTGTAATCAGTTGATTTTGATTTGTGATTGGTTGCTTTCCTTTTTTGCTTTTTAGCTGTGAATGTTTGATGCTTGTTTGTTCTTTTGATTTTTATTGGTTATTATAGCTATTATTTTAATCATGATTGGCTGATATGACTTCTTTCATTTGATGAATATTGTCCAATCACATTAATTTATTTATGGCTGATTTAGATTCTTCCTATCATTTGAATGCATTTATTTGATGCGATTAGTTAATGATTTTGCCATGATTTATTATTTCATATATTTGCATGTTCAGACCACATTTATGTGGTTATCACTCAAATTTTTATCTCCTCAAATCTTCAGCAAATATCTCAGTAGTCATTATTATTATTTCTTCACTGAGTGTTCATACCAGTAGTAAATGGTTTGTGCCAGAAATAAAGTGACAGCAAGTCTCTTCACTATGTCTCAATAGTCTCTTCATTGTATTCTGTTTTCAGTAATATTGTCATCTGGATGGCTCTAACCCATCCCTTGATTTTGATTTTGATTTTGTCCAGCTTTTTCTTTTCCTAGGCTCCTTAGTATTATTCCCAGAATTACAATTATAACATTAGAGCAGCAGGCAAAAAAAAAAGTGACACTGGAATAAAAATATACAAAGCTGAACATACTCATCAAGATACCCAGTCTGATAAATGTATACCAGGCACATGCAGCACAGCCAAATATGCATGATATGGTGGCAGGTTTTGATAAAGGCAATGCATAATCTCACAGGTGGAATCCAGTTAGATATACCTTCAGTTTGGGCAACCCAGTCTTCTCAGACAGTTTCTAATGGAACGTGTTCTTCAGTATCTTGATGTGACTCCCAAGTCACCTTGGCTGCTTCATCCTCCAAACTTAAATATATCAACCCTTTTGACACTCAGCCATGATGCTCTCTCATTAATCCCTCTTATGACTAGAGATGCACAATGCATCAACCCCTACAAGACATGCCTAACTGGTTATGGTCAGATAACTGATAAGCAAATCTGTAGTATGAAACAAGATATTTACTGCAGTTAATCTTAATTCACCAAGACAAAGTAGTTAACCATGTCAATCAGATAGCCATGCCTGGTGTAGCATCAGAACATTCTATTATTATTATTATTATTATTATTATTATTATTATTATAGCTTTTAGTTTATTGGTTATTTCTTTTTAAATTAAGATTTTTCACACTTTAGTCCCCCTCACTTCATATAAACTGTTTCGGTTATAATTAATAGTATTTTAATAAATGTTATGTAGTCATAAATCATTAATATTGTTTTTTTTTTTTTCATTCAGTCTTGTAAAGAAAATTACTAATATTTAGTGGATATTTGTATACGTGCTAGCTTAAAAGCTGCCCTATCGGGTGACATTTAAGCTAGCTCCTGCAGAGGGCTTTTGATTAAACCTCCATCACAATAGATAGATGTGATAGGCAACAATAAACTACAGAACTCAAAATTGCTGCATTTATGTATTGCATTAATATTTAAGCTTACCTTTTAAAAGTTCAATGATAATTCTTCTGCTGCTGCTTAATTTAAAGACAAGACTAAATAAAAAGGGAAAATTATATTGTAGCAATCCTTCAAGAGGGGAAAATTTACCTGTCTTGAAGATCAGCATTCAAAATATTGGCTTTTATCAAGATTTTGACCACTGACGACAGTTGGAAAATATGCTTCTAACTGGCTAAAGAAATTTAATTTTACCTTTTTTATATGTAAATATATCACTGTTACAAAACTTATACAGTGGCAAATTTTGATGACAATGGTGAAAAATGTCATCAGAATTTTAATTGACATCATTATACTGAAGTCTTCACCAAATATTTTATAAGAGTTCTCAATGACTCTTTCCAAGTGAACCATGTCATCTTTTTAAAATGCAAATATTATAACTCATTTGAAAATATTTGTGTTTTCATTCTCTTAACTTGCAAATAATAATAAAAAAAAGTTGATTTGGAAATGATGATATATAAATCTGTTTACTAGTGGTTATAGTATATTTGTGGTGAAAGCAACATTTTCATTAACTGACACCTCCATTGTAACCATTTCTTTTTCTTTATGACTTGTAGTAAAACCAACCAAACATGGTGAATTGCTCCACATCAACAGGTTCTCTTTTTACATGACCAGCAAGATGTTCTACCATTGAACTTCTTAGATAAAAATGTGTCAGTGTGCTTTGACTTAGGTAACATATGTGCCTAAATAGGGAATTTCAAACAAATTTTGAATTTAAAACAATTTCATTTTTGGCTATTTTATTTTCAATGCTCTTTGAGTCTAATACAAACATGGATAGTTGACTGCTTCTCACTAAACAATTTTCATGTGATGTTCACTAAAATATTCTTCTTCCATTTTTTTTCTTTATTTTTTTCTTTTTTCCTTTTATTTATTTTTCTTTTTCTTTTCCTATTTTTTCTTTTTTAATTTTTTTTTTTTAATAAACATCCCGACTTTTGCTTCTTTTTTAATTATGTGACTTTTTTTTTTTTATTCAAATCACTGGACATCAATGTAAACCCAAAATAACATAGCTTCAATTTATCTTACTTTCTAAGTTTCTCTATTGTAGGTATATCACATAAGAAGTTTCTTAACTATAGATACATAACAAATAGGATAATTTAAAAAGTGAACAAAATATTGTTGAGCTTATCATCAGAAAGTAAGTTTTGCAATATTAACTTATTTAATAATATTATTTGGCAACACCAGAAAAGTTTATTTAAACATTTTACATTTCAGTTTGTTTTATCTGTTAATATTACTGAAAAATAGAAGTGAACAGCTATAAAAAGTTATTGTTTGATGTAGCTCCCTTGAAAAAAAGGGTAAAAATATTAGCTTATATTACTGTTTGCCTGTTTTACACACTACATACACAATTGCTTAAAAAATACAATATTTACACTATTTACATTCAGACTATTGTCCACATCTTTGTTGTTATTATCACAACGTTTCAGCTGTTGTGCCCTCTGGCCTTCATCAGGTACATATTGATCCAATAAGCTACAGGGAATTCTGAACTAAAAAGTTATCCAAATTGATATACACTTGATGAAGGCCAGAGAGCATAACAGCCAAAGCTTTGTGATAACAACAGAAGATGAGGACAATAGTCCAAATGTAAATAGTGTAAATAATGATAACTTCTTGTCCCTTAAATTCAAAAAGAAATTGTACAGTATTTGTAGTGCCCAATATTGGAAATACAGTATTGGAAATACAGCATATAGACTGTGTGGACATTGAAATCAACACTGCATGATGACCATATCTGAAGATCACTTGCAGTGTGGAACTGACAGACCATGCAGTGTTGATTTCTATGCCTATAATCTTTTAGTAAAGATTTCTTATAATGTTTGTGAATATTTGAACTGTTTAGCTGTATAAACCTGTTAAATGCTGTCATTGAAATCCAAATACAGAACATTGTACATGTTATGTGATTTTAGAGCTCATAACAGTCCTATTTGCATTTTTTTATCCTTGGGTTTCTTATGTCATCATCATCATTTTTATCAGTCATAAGAATTCCAACCAAGAGCTGTACTGAGAGGACAGTGTCAATAAGTAAAGCTGGGTTCTTGCTTGACTTTCTTTTCTTTTCCATCTGGTTTTGAGGTGCTCAATGTCAAAAAACTCTACATTTCAGCTCTTGATATGTCTAAAACATGAACATTTTTTTTTCTTTCTTTCTTCATCTTCTTTTCTCTCTCTCATTCCCACAATCAGTCTATTTCACTTATCTTCCCTTTCTCTTACCCTTTCCTTTCTATTTCACATCCTCATTTTTTTTTTTTTTTCACATTTTTGACAGGCCAGCAGATCCTGGTTCACCATTCACATTATATAAATGACCAAATTCAACATCTATATGAATGCCACAGAATTCGCTGCCAGGGAAGCTTTTTATATTTAAGTCCCTTAATCAGTAATGTTTTGGTATATTCAGAGAGCTTTATTGTTACTTAATTCTCCTTGTGCTTTGATGTGCAAAAACTGTACTGTTCCATTGACCAACATAAAGGACATTATTGATTTCAATTAGAGAATTTCATTACTACCATTCAGTCTATTGGCTCTTGTCCTACATACATATTGATATTATTGCTATCTTTGTTTACCTATATTTGTCTCGAAATACAGATCTCCATGCATTTCCTCTGTTTTCATGAGTCTCTATAAATATATGCAAGGCCATATGTGTGAATAACACTTACCTCTATATGCGCACAGCACACAAAATAATTTTCTTTTTTTTAAACAGGTACAAAAGAAATAACTCCAAACAAAACTCTATGAAGCATAGTTATATGAGGAGAGTGTGTGTCACATGCAAACATGTACATTTCAACTGCAGAGCATTTTCAAAAGATGATTTGTTTCTTTTATTCCTTCATGTAATCTTTCCAAAAATTGTTTAACTTATTGCTGACTCTTTGTAAAAACAGTATTAATATGCCTTACCATGAGGATAAATATGATACAAGGTTAGTTTAATATGGGACCCCCTACCTGTGTTCTACCTGCTTTTGATGTAGCTGTGATGGCATTCCAACTGAATAGGAAGGTTCTAGCTGAGTGATGGATCCCCATAAACAAGAGTAAACATTTCAAATACCTTGGTGTATCAATCAAGTAGTATAGGAGAGAAGGAAATTGAACATAGAATAGGCTGCAACAAAAGGTAATTTTACCCAACACTACAAATTACTACAAAATCAAAACATCAAACTAAAAACTCAAGTCATGTTCTTAAATAGTCTCATTAGATCAAGACTTTTGTATGATGTCATGCATGGTGACAAACCTGTTCAGAAATATCTAAACTGTCAGCTGTATACAACTGCTTTCTAAGATCAAT